CGGTACATATTTTGGGGCGTTCAGGATGATCCTTAGTATCTTGTTTTGAAACATTTGAATAATTTTTGTATTGCTCTTAAATGCTGTCCCCCAAAGTGCAATTCCGTAAGTCCATATGGGTTTTAGGATAACTTTGTAGATCAATAGTTTGTTGTATGTCGATAGTTGAGATTTTCTTCCTAGTAGCCAATAAAGGCTCTTGAATTTTTCTTCTAGTTGTTTTCTTTTCTTCTGAATGTGTATTTTCCAATTAAGTTTCCTATCCAGATGTATACCCAGGTATTTAACGGCAACTGCTTGTGGTATCTGTTCTCCATTAATAAATATCGGTGGGCAAGTATCTTTCCTCAGTGTGAAAGTGATGTGGACTGATTTTTGGTTGTTGATTTTTAATCTCCAGATTTTGTGCCAAGTTTCAATCATTAGAATGTGACGCTGCAGCAGTTCGGATGCTATTTTAGGGTCTTCATGCTTGGATAGGTTATGTCATCTGCAAACGTAGCAATTTCAGTGTCTGGGGAAGTTGGCATGTCGTAGGTAAATATGAGGAATAAAACAGGACCTAGCACGCTACCTTGGGGAACGCCAGAGTTAATGTTTCTGAGGGATGAGGTTTGATTTGCCAGACTAATGTAGAATTTCCTCTCAGTAAGATAGGATTTTAATATTGAGAATAGTTGTGCAGGTAGGATATTCTTTAATTTATGAAGTAGTCCGGCGTGCCAGACCTTGTCAAAGGCTTGGGATATATCAAGGAAGCAGGCAGAGCAGTACCTCTTTTCATGTATTGTAGCATTTATCTGTTCCACAATTCTGTGGGTTTGTTCTGTGGTGGAATGTAGCTTTCTAAAACCAAATTGATAGTCCGGAATTATAGATTTGTCATGGAGTATTGTTAGAACTTTTTTGAGTAGAAGTTTTTCAAATATTTTAGAGAGAGTTGAAAGTAAACTTATTGGTCGGTATGACTTGAGAAGACAAGGATCCTTGTCTGTTTTGGGAATTAGAATTACTTTGGCTATTTTCCACGCCTTAGGAAACACTTTTAGCCTTAGGAGAGAGTTGAACAGAATTGTTATGTACCTCAGAGTTTTTGGTGGGAGCTGTTTCAGGATTTGGATTGATATAAGATCATGGCCAGGAGATTTACCTGATCTTGAGACTGAAATTTCATGTTTGACTTCTGATGCCAGGAATTTGAGCACACTCTTGGTTGGAAAAGTTTTCAGACTGTATTTCTTCAGTGGTTTGCTCCTCTTGGAAGTAGTTTTGCGGAAATGGTTGAAATACATTTTCGAAGAAATCTGCAAATAAATCGACCTTTCCTTGATGACTTTTTGCCCAGGAGTTATCATTTTTTCTAATAGGAATTACCGGGAGTATAGGCTGTTTGAAATGTTTAGTAGCATTCCATATGGAGTAATTCGTGTCCTTAGTAGCCGTCAGGTCTTTGATTCTTTTTTCAAGTACGTTGTTGTTGTATTCTTTCAGTAATATTTTTACTTCTTTACAGGCGCTGTTCAATCTTGTTTTATCTTGAGGAGATCTTGATGTTTGCCATATTTTTCGGAGTCTTCTCTTAATCGCAATATGTTGTTTGATGTACAGAGGATAGTTGAGTTCATTACTGGTTGTAATTGAAGGAGTGCTATTTAGTGCCGATTGGTGTATTGTTTCGGTGAGATGATTTACCGCGTTATTAATGTCGTTCTCTGACTTTAATGACATATTACAATTTAAGTTGATATCGAGCAGTTCTCTAAATTTGTTCCAGTCCGTGAATTTGTTGGTCAGGTAAGGTTTTATGAAAATCGGTGGTTGTTTACAAAAAATGGTTAGTATAACAGGAGAGTGGTCACAGCTCAAATCTAGGCTATTTTGAGAAAGAAATCAATATATTAATTTATAAATGATTTATAAGCATACCCAGTTTTTTATTAGAACAACAAAACAAGTAAGTTATTGTCTGCAAATGATTTTGATATTACACATTATGTAAACCAAGATGCGCCTAAAGCACGCGGAGTATTTTCTAAAAACGCGATCGATTAATCCAAACTTTAAATCATTTTTATAATAAATCACTTGTCGTAGGGCTCTAAAATTCTGGTAGGTTTATTAATATCAAGAACTGTATCAAGTTTCATATAAGGTTTTGTTAAAGTAAGTCCGATTTTTTTAACAATCATTAACAAAGAAATGATATTTACCAAAAGCTAATCAACAAGATTTCTAAATGACATTTTTCGATTCGTTTTAAATATTCAAAAGCCATTCACATTTTTTACGAAAACGTGGACATAAAACTTGCACTCTTTTGCTAATTCTAAATCTGCTGCGCCGATTTCAAAATTTTAAAAGCCATTTGGTAAAACTTTGAGTCGTTTCTTTACAATTAGCAAAACGTTGTTTTGCCACAAAAATATTTCTAGTATTTTTAATATTTAAAACAACTAATTGGGAAGGTGGAAGTATGTAGTCTAAAAGTAAATGGAAAAGCTATCACAAATAATGTAGATGGTTTACCCACTGCAAAATGTGTCACTATATATGTAGTCATGATACACATTGATAGTCATTGCAAGTGCCAACTTAATCTGAAACTGATATATAAATTGAAAAGGCGCAATAGGAGATTCAATGTTTTAATATATTATTACCGTGTTTTTTATAAATTCATTCATTTTTGAATTACGGAAATCCGAACATTTTTTTCTGAAATATGCTGTTTCCCCACACACAAATATTCAGAAACCTTTAAAACGTAAAAATTTTCATTTTCGATTTTTTTGCGATTACTATAACTTACAAGTTAACAAAAATACGATTCTGTTACATCTAGTTATCAAGGTGGAAAATAACGCTCGTAATTGATTGATTGTTGAACTGTATTAGATGCATCTTTGAGTAGGTTTATAAGCATATCAGCAGTAATTAAAATGTAAAAACTCAACAACATACACATCGCAGCTCAAAACAAATATCGAACAACCAACAATATACGAAACTAGTTCAGAAAATTTTTCGGTTATTTTTCAAATATAAAAATATGTGTATTTGCTATATTTTCTAAAATTTCCTGCCGTCCCTGTTCACCCCATATGAGGCAAACGCACCCAATATTTCATTTTTAATTATGGGGTCGTTTTCGGAATTAAGAGTTCTATATTTACCCAATGCCAAATACAAATTTCATAAGCTTTTTTTAACAAAGATTATACCAAATATTCATCAGAATCATCATTCATCAGCAGCGTTGGAATAACTATTAATTTAATTTATTTCTTACAATTAGATAGAGGTTTTATAAAACATTGATAAATATAAGATAAGACTAACAATGCATATCGTGAAACAATTAAATAACGTAAATAAAATGGACCTTTTTGCCCGCCAACTTTTAAGTCCAGCTCCGCCGTATATTTATATTTATATTTACCTCATAATTTTGCAGTATCTATATATAATATAAATTTTTATATTTATATTTACCTCATAATTTTGCAGGGTTTATATATAATATAATTAATGTCTGTCTAATAAAAAAATAAAGAAAATGTCACCAAAAAATTTAAAATATTATTAGAGGTGATCAACCTGTAATAAAAATAAAAATAAAACCCTTAACAAAAATTTAAGCTCTTTCATTAACTTTGAAAATTCAGATGATGAATGATATAACTAAAATAATAATTCTTACGAAATAGGAGTTTGTGGTAAAATGGTGCAAATTTAGTTTTAGGTGTTTTATAGAAAAATAAGAATGAACTAAAAAATAGCCTGCCTTAACCACTTGGTTTCAATTAGGATATGCGAAAACCTGTCCGGGGATATATCTAACATTTTCGCAAATTTTCACGGCGATAGAATGTATGGTTTATGAAAGATGATGTAATCACTATAATAATTCTAACGAGATAGGGGTTTGTGGTAATTGAAAGGGGTGATTGAAAGAAGTTGAAATTTTTGTATTATATGTGTTATTTAAATATGCTTTTTAGAAAAATAAAAAAATAATCATTCACAAAATAATAAAAAAATGTCTTCGGGGCGGTCCATCCCTTCCACTTGGTTTCAATGAAAATATCCGAAAAACTGTCCGTCGATATTCCTAACAGTTTCCCAAATTTTCACGGCGATCGGACGTATGGTTGGTGAATGCATAAACATTACAGCCATACACACACAAAAATACATCAATGTTTATATAGAATAGATGAAGTGATTGATAAATATAAAGAGTCGCTGTGCGACTTTATAATGCTGAAAAATATTATTCAGTTCTTGATTATTCCATGCCATTTTGTACAAGTTAACCAATAACAGTCATATTATTTTTGACAAATGGTTTAAATATTATACATTACTTAACGAAAAACAAACATGTGTTCTCAAAAGTGCGGTCCATTTTCTCAAATTGCAATGAATTTTTATAATTAAACCACCTTTTGTGGACGTATGATATTTTAGTAAGTTTGTTAAGGTTCTGAAGTTTATCATTATGCAGCGTTTTATTAAAATCTTGAAAAATTATAATTAATTGTAAAGGAAGGGCGCAGCCGATCTATACCAAATCGAGTTTGATTAAATGGTTTTTAAACATTTGAAATCGTCGCAGTCGTTTTTGAGAAAAAGTCGACCAAATTTCAAATTTTAGTCAAACATGCATTACTTTTTAAAAAAAAATTGTCAAATGATGATGATGAGTATAAACATTTTCATTTGTTAATATATGTATTATAAGAAACATTCGTACAAAAACTATGAACTTTACAATGATATTTATATTTATATTTATAGTAATCTCTGTTATTTTTACTCTAGTATTTAACTCTAATTATATTAATTATAACAGTACTGATACTCTTGGGTACAGCTGGAATCCATTAAAATAAATTTTCATAATTTTCTATTTATTTGCATATTTTTAATAGTTGAAATAGTCGGCACCAAAAATTTTATAGCGTTTATCAATAAATTTATATGGTCTTAGTGTTAAATATAGTATTAGATCATTAAATATAGTATTAGAATTAATTAAAAACATATTTAAAAATTACCTGAGCCATTTAGTAATTTGACCCAACAAAAATACAGGAATATATAATATAGATTCTTGTTATCTTATTAATTAAAATATCTTTAAAAAAAGTAATGGATAAAATTCACTAATCATCAGATTCCTCAGTTTCTGTTTCCGTATCAGTGTCATAAGTATTATAGCGCGGTTTATCAATTGCACGCAAACCACATTGCGGACGTCGTGTAGTTGGCAACCATGAACCTTTGAACCGCTTTGGGTGTCTATTTCCACCTTGTTTTATAAAATTACGTGTAATTCTTTGCGTATTTTTATTACTATCAGTGCTAAAAATAATTTCTGGAGGCAACTTGAAGTGGACTCTCTTTCTCTTCAAGGATTCAGTATTGTTTTCATCGGCTCTGGAACTAGAGCTGGGCGAGAAGTTACATGAAGATGAAACTAAAGTGTCAATGTTTAAGTCTTGGCTTGCATACATGCGAGATTGGAGGCAAAAGTTCTCATTATCATCATCATCCTCATCCTCATCAGTCATTTTTGAGTGCCAATCTAAGGATCTTAAATTTGTCGTATCGGGTTTATCCTCTCTGATCGCATTTGATGAGCAAGCGTTGAAATTGACACCTTTTTCTTTTGAAGAAGAGTGCATCGTCAACTTTAGGGCGTTTACTACATCTGCCCATGAATTGATCGGGAGTTCGCACTCTGAATCCTCTGATGATACATCTCCCACGCAACTGGGTTTCAGGGTAGATAAAGCTGACAGTATCGATACTGATTTCTTCTGACCTTCAAACATCGAAGCTGGTGTATCTTTCTTCTGACCATGATAGACATTGTCACCATCCATTGATTCAAATAACAAATCTAATTATAAAAAAAGAATTAGTATAATTAGCATAATTTTCTCTATTTAATTTATAATAAAACATAATATTATTCTATATAAGTTTAATAAAACAACATCGAAAACGTGTTGATAATGATAATAATAAAATGTTCCAACAATTTTACTGATATTTGTGCTTTGCAATTTAAATTCCAAGACGTAAATAATTAGATATGCATTACAAAACTACACATCAAAGTTGCGAATAATGCTAATAAAATCTCAATGATAGTTTCATAAGAAACCAATAGCGCATGAAAAATATAACAAAATATTGATTTTAGAGCATTAGTTTTAATTTGATATAAATATTACCTGATGCTTCATGATGAATTTCTCGATTAACCCAGTACTTCGAACCCCTACTTTGATTCCCTTCTGAAATATTCGGTTTTCCATGTTGTGGAAAAAATCGACTTACAAATGGACTCCTGCGAATATTTGTTGTTTTTTTCATATAGACAGACGATTTTTTATTTCCTACAGCAGTGTCCTCTTTTTCTTTGGTGTCTGCTCTGATAATAAGATACTTTGTCGGCTTCATTTGACAATCATGAAGTTTTGGCTCTTCAGAAAAATTTGCTGTTGCTGATTCCATGTCTATATCAGAATCAGTTTCAAATTTGCAGATTTCCCTGTTATTTTCCGTGCATTGCAGGCTGCAAATCTTGGCTGGTTCAATTACTTTGGGTGACAAAAAGTTATTTGTAGTTATATCATCTTGGGTATCACCAACACTGTCACATATTATATAATTCAAATCACTAAAAGTGACTTTTTTACGACTGGTTTTCTCTCTGTTTTGTTGGGCCAAGGAATCCTGAAAATAAAAAAAAATATTGATTTTTTTACAATTTTAAAATGTATATTATACAAGTGTTTTGTAAAAAGTTGTGAAACATTTAAATATACTGACCATTATGTCAGTTGACTATTAAACCAACAACTGAACTGAACGTTCCAAGAAATTATGCTTAGCGATTATCGGCAAGCCGAATACTCACATTTGTTTTTGTGTTTCAATATAAATATTTTCATAATAATCGTATAAAATATTAGAACTTTATCGCTACGTACTATAACTTACATATCTCCCTCCATGCCTTGTTGATTCACAGTTATTATTGTTTTGGTTTACGTATACTGCAAATGAACTAAACAGTTAAGCAGAATTATTTTTAAAGCAATACAAGCCGAATCATGTATAGGTGACATCTACAAAATATTCAATAACAAATATAATATTTTGCCAATTATTTGTGTAAATGTAATAATCTGTGAACCTGCAATTATGACATTATTAACTTCCCGAAGGAGAAGTTTATGTTTTCATCAAAAAATCCGAATCGCTAATTTTATGTTTTCTCGACGTTTCAAGCCATTCTGAATCGAATGAGACCAAATTTGGAAAAAGTATGTGTGTATGTGTGCGTGTGCGTGAACAGAGTTTTTGCCGTAAATCGACGTTTTCTTAAAAATGGCTGCACCGATTTCAAAAATTTAGAAGCGATTCGATGAATCTCGATGAGGCGTAGCGTTTTTCAATTTTGTGCGACGATCGGCCTAACCGTTTCTTCGTAAATAGCAGAAAAGTGAAAAATTTCTCGTCTACGTTTTAGCCGGCAATTATGATTCGATTTTGAAAATTCAAAAATCGTTTGAAAGATATTGGTTGGGAATCGACCTGATTAGTTTTTGATAAAGATCGACCGGGCCGTTTTCTTGTAATAAAGTGTTAAAAAAAAAAAATTTCGACGTTTTTCTTTGTAATTTGGCAAAGAAGTGTTATACTTTTCGATCACATTTAAGCTCCTACTACCGAATCGATTTAAAAAAATCAAAAACTTTTCGAAAGATATTAGTTGGGAATGATACTGATAAGTTTTAAGTGAAAATCTACCGATCCGTTTTCTTGTAATTAACTGCTGAAAAAAAAAATTAAGACAATTTTTATAGAACTTTTGTTGGCGATATATATCATGGTCTTGTAGAACTTACTAAAATATTAATGCTTTGCGACAAGTAGTTTAATTTTAAAAATTCATCAAAGCTTAAGAAAATGATTAGTTTTTTTGACGTTTGTTAAAATTAAAATTAGACGATTTACTTGGTATAAAGCTAGAGTACTTGGTCTTAATGAACATACTAAACTATTAAAGTTTTATGAAATTATAAAAATTGTTGATTTTTGAAAATTAGCTTTTAGAAAATACTGCGGGTTAACGTCTTCGTTCGTTTTCAATTACATGTAACAAATCCACTCGGCATACTTTTAATCACTATTGATTAAGTCATTTATTTACACATATCGGGAAGTTCATGTAACTTGCCTCAAGGCAAAATTCCAATACCAACTAGTTATTACTTATGGTGGACAGCATAAATGATCTTTATAAGAAAATTCAGATAAAAATAGATACGCTGGAATTTAATATGTTCCCAACTCTGTTCTAATTGCTCATTATTTTACGTCTTTCAATTACAAATACTTATTTATAATCAATAATAATAATTCTTGCAGCGCAATTTAACAGTATTTTCAGATAGACAATTTATACAACTGATCATTCTAATTAAGCTTTAGATAAAATCATTTGTTTTGTTTTTATTAACTTCCCGAAAGAGTTTATGTTTTCATAAAAAAATCCGAGTCGCTAATTTTATGTTTTCTCAACGTTTCAAGCCATTCTGAATTGAATGAGGCCAAATTTGGAAAAAGTATGTGTGTGTGTGAACAGATTTTTTGCCGTAATTCGACGTTTTCTCAAAAACGGCTGGACCGATTTCAAAAATTTAAAAGCCATTCGATATATCTCGATGAGGATTAGCGTTTATCAGTTTTGTGCAACGATCGACCAAGCCGTTTCTTTATGAATAGCAGAAAAGTGAAAAAAAATTTGTCCATGTTATAGCCTGCAATTCTGAATCGTTTAGCCACGTTTTATCCTGCAATTTTGAAAATTCAAAAACCGTTCGAAAGATATTGGTTGGGAATCCTGCTGATTAGTTTTTGGTAAAGATCGGCTGAGCCGTTTTCTTGTAATAAAGTGTTTAATTTTTTTTTCGACGATTTTTGTGATTATTTTTTGACGGTAGATACCATAGACTTATAGATCATACTAAAATATTACGGCCCTACGACAACTCGTTTAACTTTAAAAATTTGTCAAAGTTTGCAAAAATTGATGACCTTTGAACAACGTTTTCTCAAAAACGCCTGAACCGATTTCAGAAATTTAAAAACCATTTGATGTATCTCAATGAGGATTATCGTTTGTCAGTTTTGTGAGACGGTCTGCCGAGCCGTTCTTTGTAATTAAAAAAAAAGTTTTAAACTTTTCGTCGAATCGATTTTAAAAAATCAAAAACTGTTCGAAAGATATTAGTCGGGAATGATACTAATTAGTTTTAAAAGTAATAGTAATTTTGTGAAAATCTACCAAGTCTACCTTGTAATTAACTGTTGAAAAAAATATAAACCGATTTTTATGGAACTTTTTTTGGCGATATATATATCATGGTCTTATAGAACTTACTGAAATATTACGGCCTTGCGACAATTAGTTTAACTTTAAAAATTCATTAAAGTTTGAGAAAATGAGTAGTTTTTTCAGTGGCGTACCTAGAACTTTTGCCGCCCGGGGCGATCTCCAGATTGCCGAAATCTGAAAAAATATATTTTTGAAAATTTCGAAAATTTTGAAAAAATGGCTTTTTTTGAAAAAAATGTTTTTTATATTTTGAATTTTTTTGAACATTTTTAACTTTTTTGCAACTCAATCGCGCTGCGCAGCTGTTTTGGAGACGAAATATCGAAGCGAAACGGATAGGCATTGATACGGAACCCATAGAAATGTAAATTAAATTTGTTCATATTCTAATGATCATTTTGTCTAATGATCATTTTGGGCCGCCAAATGTTATTTTTTTACTTTTTCTTAATGATTCTCTGTAATTGCTAGATCTCTAGACCTGTCATCCCAAAAACAGTTCTTCGTTTAGTTAATACGTATAAAATGTTTTTTGAATTATTTAAAACGGACGCTTCGTTCTCTCAAGAACTAAATTACAATTTTTGGCTTTTTTGCCCCGTGTCTTTGAAACGGCTGGACCCGCTTTTGCCAAAAACTAATTAGCACGTTTTGTCAGTACGAATCGAATGTTTTGTTGAAATAGGTTGATGCGTGTTCCTACAATCAGCGACGAAAGTTTGTATCTAAACACACGCACACATCCATTTTTTCTAAGGTATGCCAAAATTTAGAAACCTCTTGAAACTATCTGAAACGTAAAGATATATAAAAAATTTCACTTTCGATATTTATGCGATTACTATATATATAGCTTTCCCTATGGAACGTTAATAAATTATTACATTATTTAATCAATATTAATTAATACACAGAGTTTTTTACAATTTTTTTAGACATATTTATACGCACATATTTATATAATGCCCTAAGGCTTTGCAGACCTAGCAAACCGCCTTCCGCCAGCCCTGATTTTCAAAAGAAAAATTGATGATTTAAAAAAATATTGATATGTCACTTCAAAGTAATCATATGAACTTTTCAAAAGAAATGACATTTATAAGATGATATGAAAAAATAGGAAAAATCGCTGAACAAAATCGTAAAGATGCTTATACGAATTCAACGAATTTTAATGAATACAATAAAATAAAATTATTAACCTGTTCTTAAATTAGAATTCAAAATTTACACTAATAAACATTTATATACACCGAGGAATAAAATTCTAAATCATATGGTTAATCATAATTTATATAAATCAAATATTGACAATAATAACAATCATAATGATTATTTATAATTCAAGAAAGAAAACTAGTGGTGTATGGCATTGTAACTTAAGGCAAATTGCTGGAACTTCCCGTACCGTAATGATATATTCGAGCAAAATTTTCAAATATATAATTATAATTACTGTAACTTATATATGTTTACAGAAAAGTAAATAAACAAAATTCAATCAATCAATAAAATGAAGGACATTGTCTAATATTTAGTAGAAATATATAAAAAAAGTTAAAATTATTTATTTCAAGTATATAGTGAGCATTTGAACTTTAGGCAGAATTCAAATAAATCTCCACGTAGAAAGTTTTTTGAATTATTCAAATAAGATGCTTAGTTCTCTCAAAAACAGTTATTCTTTGCACATTTTGCTTGGTATCTCCGAAACGATTGGATCTGCCTTTGCCAAAAACTAATCACCACTTCTCCTCATCATTACAAATTGAAGTTTTTTGCATCAATCAAATCGAATGTTCTATTCTCTCAAAAACTCGATTTCTATTTTCTGTACCCTTTGGTTGTGTCATCAAATCGGTTGATCGGGGCGCCCGAAAACGTGAACGAAAAAATGCGGACGCACAAAACACACTCACTTCCATTTTTTCTGAGGTATTGCAAAATGTTCAGAAACCTTCAAAACGTGAAGAAATTTAAAAATTTTCATTTTCGATTTTCGGTCCATTACTATAACTTACCCTACGGAAGTTAATAAATATGAAATGAATAAGTTGCTTTTTACAACTATGTATAAATAAACTAAAAAATGCCGCCCCAAAATAAGTTTCGCCCGGGGCGGACCACCCCACGGCCCCCCGTAGGTACGCCACTGAGTTTTTTTGACGTTTGTTAAAATTAAAATTAGACGATTTACTTGGTATAGTGATAGAGTACTTGGTCCTAATGAACATACTAAACCGTTAAAGTCCTATGGAAACTGATTCAATTATAAAAATCATTGATTTGTGAAAATTTGCTTTTAGAAAATACTTAGATGAAATGAGAAGTATAGTAGAAGAAATAAGAAGTGTTTAGAAGAAGAAATGAGAAGATAGTAAAGAAGACGAAAGAAGAATGCAGATAAGTTAAGAAGTATAGAAGAATAGGATTATATGAAGAAGAAGATAATATGAAAATGAAGAATGTATAAAATATATGATTGTATAGAATAATGTAGCGAGGCTAATAAAATAATAATAATAATAATAATAAACATCTATATTAGAATTTTAATACACACATACACAGGCGTATGTTTGTTTATACGTATGTATTTCGAAATTCAAAACCAATATTAAACCAATTTAATATTTTATTAACTTCCCGTAGGGCAAGTTATAGTAATCGCAAAAAAATCGAAAATGAAAATTTTTGCATTTCTCGACGTTTCAAAGGTTTCTGAATATTTTGGCATACCTTAGAAAAAATGGATGTATGTGTGTGTGTGTGTGTGTGTGTGTGTGTGTGCGTGTGTGTATGTATGTGCGGATACAAATTTTCGTCGACGATTTCGGGAACACCGATCAACCGATTTGAATAATTCAAAAAACATTCGATTCGTATTGATAAGGAGACGTGCTGATTAGTTTTTGGCGAAGTCAGGTCTAGCCGTTCCGAAGATACGGGGCAAAAAGTGCCGAAAACGGTAACTCAGTTTTTAAGAGAACGGAGCGTCCGATTTTAATAATTCAAAAAACATTTTACTTGTATTGACAAGGTGAAGTACCGATCAAATTTTCATAAAGACAGGTCTAGCGGTTTCGGAGATCTAATGAAAAAAGTAAAAAACAATGCCATTTGGCGGTCAAAAATGATCATTAGACATATGCACATCAAATTATCAGATATTTTATAGAGATTTTAACAATAAGTATAATTTTGGTTTACATTCCTATGGGTTCCGTACCAATGTTTACGCGTTAGACGTCGACGCGACGCTTACGCGGTTTGATATTTCGTCTTTATGCAGTTAAAGTAGTACGATTGCTTCGAAAACAAGTTTAGATCTTTCAAAATATGTCAAAATAAAGAAAACATTTTTTATCAAAAAAAAAAATAAATAAATAAAAAAAAATTAAAATATATATATTTTTTTTAAAAAAAAGTAATTTTTTGTCTAATTGTTTGCCAAAAATCTTATTTTTTTGAAGTAAATTTTTTTCAAAAATGTTAATCGTTTTTAAAAAAATAATAATTTTTGGTACGGGAAGTTCCAGCAATTTGCCTTAAGGCACAATGCCTTAATTGCCTTAAGACAGAATTCCACTAACAGCTAGTTGATAAATACTTTATATAATATATATATATATATATATATATATATATATAGAATTTTATGATATGAGTGGAACGAATATTAATTGTTTAATATGAACAAAACAGCACTCAGATTTGTTTAATATATATATATATATATATATATATATATATATATATGTGTGTGTGTGTGTGTATGCATATTATACCTATGAGTTTTTTGCGAAAAAGTGCATCCAGTGTAATGTCTTGGCCACCTTGTTCCTTTTCTTTAGTTTAGTTCTACAACAAGTAAAACAAATAATTTTCATAATATTATATAAATATAGACTTTTTGGAATGAAACACAAAAATTATAAATTTTGTCTTTATGAATGATTGTTACTCAAAGATGTATGCTAACAGAGTGTCATTGAATTGCAGAAAATGAAAAGCATGCGTAAGCCATATATAATTTCAAACAAATAACACATATTTCAATAATACCCAATAATATTGTTATTCATTCACTATCATCCGAACAATGAACAATTCATTTACATTTTACACTAATAATTAAATAATTATCTGTATAAAACTATATCTAAGTAATGTAGCGTGTCGCGTTAATGAAAATCACATTATTAATACACATAGTTCTTTTTTCTTTCATTTGAAAAAATACGTAACATTTAAAAATATTGCAAATATTTTAAAACTCGGTGCAGAATTCCGAATCAAATACCAGAATAATATGCATATCATGTATATGCATACTCAATAATATTATTATCAAAATATTATAACAGTAAAATTTATTACAGAGGTTATTGAAAATATAAACGACAAAGAAATGTGAGTGTTTTACAGAAAAAAAATAAAACTAGTGAAGTAAATGTACCGAAAATAAACATTTTTAAAAAATTTTAACAAATATTAAAAATTTGATTCTTGAGAATTTTGAGATGACTCATTTAATTTTTTTTTTTTTGTATTTTGAATTTTGTTGAAAATCCTGATTTTTTCTTCGAAGAAATCACGCTGCGTAGCTGTTTTAGAGACGAAATATCGAAGCGCGTAAGTGCCGCGCCGCAGTCTAACGCAGAAACATTAGTACGGAACCCATAAAAATGTGAATTTGTACTTATTATTGAAATCTCTATAAAATCTCTGGTAATTCAATGTGCATAAGTCTAATGATCATTTTGACCACCAAATATGTTTTTAACTTTTTCGGTATTTTCGAAACCGTTGGACCTATCTCCCCAAAAATTTAATCAGTTCTTCATTTCATCAAATAATATAAAATGTTTTTTGAATCATTCAAATCGGTTGATCCGTTGTCTCGAATTTTTTTTAAATTTTATTTTTATTCTGCAATCTATAAAAATAATTACATTTAGCAGAGAATGCTGACAAGTTGTTCACAATTAATTGCCTACAAATTAGTAGATACCCCCAGTGGCGTATTTACTAGAGCTAATAGAAAAAAAAAACTAAAGAAAAAAAAACTATAAATAAACTATATTAGATCTCCAGCTATTTTTCTTTTGAGCCTGGTCGGCTGGCCTTCCTGATATAAATGACTTGCTAATTGGTTAGGATGGACGTCAATTCTATTCTTATAATTAATAGCAACCATTGTTATATGTTCTTGAATTGTAGGTATGCCCGTCGTCGTCGAAATATGTCGTCGAAAATTGTATACGCATATAAATACATACATACATACATACATACACACACATACTTACATACATACATTTTTTAAGGTATGCAAAATTTTCAGAAACATTTGAAACGTAAAGATATGCAAATATTTTCATTCTCGATTTTTTTACAATTACTATTCACCACGGGAGTTAAATAGATCGACTAAATATTAAAAACAATAATATCTAAATACCGAAAACCAGCATGAAAAAAAAAACTTACGATTAGAAATGTGAAAACGTTGCACGAGGTTTGAGAAAACTTGAAAAGCTTTAGCATAACAGCATTTTATAGATTTATCTCATCCATTTATTGAAAAGTAGCAAGTTCACATACTTGTAATAAAATATCTCAGTTTTTGAAATTGCAATGTACCTAGTAATTCGGTATGCTCCTCACCTATGCATGACTTACATTTAGTGAATTATTTTAAACACGCAAATTATTTATAAACTGAAATTATCTCAACAATGAATGGATGGCGTTGTTAGTAGCCTTGAAAATGTCTTCAGTAAATATTATAATTAAGTTTTTCGACGTGAGTAAGACAGCCGTTTTATATAGATAAGTTAGATTAATTCATATAAAGAATAGTTAAAATATCAAACAGACTTTTGCAAAAGCATGAAGTAGATGTTGACAACATATACCCTAATATTAAAACATCGAATACTATGTAATGAATTAATATATCGACTAATTTCTGTAAAACAAATCAAATGCAATACTTAATGCAAACTGTACTTTATGCAGTTGGTTGCAAGCCTTAACGTTGGCCATGATGTGTCCGATTCAGGTTATGTTGACATATAATGTGTTTTTCCGTTACAGTAATAAGTAAACGTTAAAAAACTTCTCTTCAGATGTCAAAATATATATTACAAAGCAACGTCTATCAAGAATTTAGTAGGACCTAATGATACTTATAAATTGAAGGTAATAAATTTATATATATATATATATATATATATATATTATATATATATATATATATATATATATATACACATATATATACACCTAAGTCTGTTTTTACACGGAGATTGGTTCCAGAAGAATCCGTGTAAAAAAAAAACGTGCAAAAAAAGACATTGATCTTATACAAAAATGGGTGATTTGTTCCTAATCTCTAAAACCTATTGAAATTAGTGAAAAGCAAGAATTTTTAGGGTATTCCTCTAAATGAGTGCTATTCACATTTGCTTTGACCAGTAAAAATTGTTTGCACGCACTAAAGGGGAATTCACTTAAATTTTTAAGCTAATGTTCGCAAACTATCGATACTATCGTTTGTTTCAGACTTTTTTCTTTCATAAATACTTTTTTGTGATATTCGCAAAAATTAAATTTGACAAAAAAAATTAAGTACATAAAATTTCAAATCGTGCTAAATGGAATAAAATCGTATAAAAAAATTAAAAATGTTCAATTTTCAAACCGTGTTATATCAAAACCGTGTAAAAACAGACTTAGGTGTATATATATTTTTTTAAATATTTCCAATGTCTTCTTCAAATCGTCTGCTTCTACAACATTGTTAACGCTATGAATTCTTCCAACTAGAAGTGTAGATGTTAGCATTTACTATACCTATATATAAATTTTACTTATATCTTAACTTGTTTTGTAATTTGCCAAATAGGTTACAAACAAAATTTATTTAGTGTGAATGTCAACTAAAACTTAATGTTTAGTACACAGAAGTATATGATGTATGTATTCATTTGACATTTTTTTGGATATATGTATTGCGATTTAATGTTTGATTCTAATGTGAGTTACCCATAATTTTTTCCCAAACAAATTGTAATAAACATTACTCAAATGCTAAGGTATCACGGGACAATTAGAGATTAAATCAAAACAGATATCAAGTAGCTTTCCCTTTTATAAATTGAACGCAAATTAATGTAAACCTATTTTTTTTCTCTTAACATTAAATTAAATAAACTCGAGCATAATATATATATATGTATATATGAATATTATTAATTTGTATAAAATATGTAACAATAAATACTGAACATAATATTAATGTATTCATTTTACTGTTAATTGCGATCAAGGGTCAAATTTGTAAGTCATTCTTTAAAAAAATCATTTCTTTCTTTTTAAAGCATTCAATTCTCCTTGCTGCAAAGCTGCTTCTGCATATATTCGTTTAACTTTCTCCTTACGCTCCATATCACTTTAAAAGAAAAATAAATTAATAAAGTATTGTGCATCTTATGTAATAAAAATTATAAATTTTAATTGACTTACCTTGCCATTTGTTTCTTGATATGCATATTTGCTATGTATGATTTATCTCGTCTTATTTCTCTTAAAGCACCTTTCATTTCTTTTTTGTATTTATGCAATAATTTTTCATGTTCTGCCTTCTCTTTAGACATTGGCCTATGTCTCTTTCCATCATAAATTATCTATTGATGCATATAATAGAAATTGTAAGCATATTTAAGGTACAAAACTAATTTTTAGATGAAAATAAGATATTATCTATTAATATAAATACCATGGCTGATAATATATAATAATAATAAATAATATGTACACTGTTTATATATACCTTTTCAATATTTGGTTCATAGAGCCTCAATGCCTTTGGCCTTGATTTTTCTAATTGCATATACACCTTCATCTGCTCTTGGCATTTTTTCAGGGATTTAGTGCTGCTTTCATACTGCTTCTTAATTGTCTCAGGATAATTTTCGATATGTACAAGTGGCAATAATCTCATGTGATATTCAAAAAGCACATCGGCAGCTTCTAAGTTACTTATATTATCACAGAATTCATTTAAAAACTTGAGTGCATTATGAAATACACGTTTTTTAAAATCTGTATCAATTTCTCCATCAATAAAGTCCATCGATGAGAGTTTGGTATCTTGACCTAATTCAGAGGTATTGTCTATCATTTCTTCCACAACAAGTAAAGTACTAAAAGATCCATGAGATTTAAAAGGCGGCAGAGCTTTTACTATTTGTATTGATTTTTTGGGCACAGCCATATGTATTATACCACCAATGAAGTTCAAAGCTGCTGGTAAGAAACGTTTTGACAAGACCGTGTACTAAAAATTAAAACAATTGTTGTTAATGCACAATATATTAAGATAAATTAATAAAGCGTACCCAAACATACCACTTATTATTACTACTTTTATTTTTAGTTGAGTCGGGAAAAGTATGTATTAGAATGTAAAAAACAAATACTAAAACCAAATTACAATTATAATTTCAGCTAAATATTACCTCTAATAACAATGTAACCACGAAAAGTCCTGAAGTAATATCCTTTTTGCTTTTCACTTTGCATCTAGACAATATTTGAGACATGAATGTTAAAGCAGGTGTAACAATTTGATGCCTAAAATCTGATGTGGGAAATAATACAGATATAAGTTTAAAAAATATAAGTGTATCCAATTCCGGATAGGAACTTTTATTTTTCCTGAAATCTTTTTGTTTCTCTTTAATGACTTCCATAAAACATGTATACGCATTTCCAGGATTCATTTGGCACAAATCATAGATATATGGTGTCAATCGATCTAAAGTGAAGAAGTTTTTCTTTATTGATTCATCAACATTCGAAAATAAATCATTTATATATTGCAGCAGATATGCTAAAAGGGTTCCCAATTTTTCCTTGTTGCCCTCAGATAGACTTGGATGATTACATTTGATCATACGCTCAATTATTATTCCTTGATGGATTGGTGATTGATTACTTAATAGTTGTTCCAATTCTTCATAATTTTCAGCTATTTTGAATGTGTATGGCAATTCAGAGGCTGCTGCGTCCATAATTTTTTTTCTCTTTAATAAATCATTCTTAATCTTTCTCGAATTTTCATCCATACTTTGTGTTTTCACTATATTCACTTCGCCACCTAAGTCTTTAGTCTCGACTCTGGGTTGATCATTGGGTTTGAAACATACTTTACTTCTACTTTGACAATCTAATTTAGAGACAAGGCACTCAGAATTCTTGTCGTCTTCACTCACAATATTGTCTATTATGGATTTATTGTTATCCTTGTCCATTTTTTCACAATTGTGGCTTTCTTGTTCCATGATGTCATCATTTTCACTATTTGTTTCTTCTTCATCCATTTCATGTTTATCCTTCTCTTTTATTTCTCCTACTTGAGATTCGTTTTCATCAGAAGAGTCATCAGCTTTTAAATCATTCAAAGAATCTGTCTCGCTTTCATCATCACTACTATCATCGTTGTCTTCATCGCTTTCCATATCTGAGTTATTCACCCCTTCAGCAACTTTATCTACAAAAATTACATCGCAAATAAATAAACACTATAATTTATATGTATAATTTCCTTATAATACATTGTATACATCTTTACAATACATTGTATACAACTTTATACATACCACTTTCTTCTGCTATTCGTGAACCATTTATAAGATTGCCATCTTTATCATATTGAAGAGTAAAATCTGATTCAGGCTCAAGGAAGAATCCATCATCCAAATCATCAGCAGAGCGATGTTTGCTTTGTGTACTTCTTTCAGTTGTACCACTATTCATTCTTGCTAAACGATCTTGTTCCAGCTGCTCTAATTTTTCTTTATCTTCTTTTGCAATTTCATCCTCTGTTTTTAACTTATCCGCTGGCTAAAAAAAAAATTTAATCCGCATTAATTAGTACTTAGGTTCAAGAATTGTAAAAAATGCTTAGTTTGATTACAGCTCTTACCGTTCCCCTAGCTTCGAACTTTAATAGTCTTACAGCCATGTCATAATCATCATTATTTTTTTCAGGTGGATCTTGTAATTTAGAACCTTTATGCTGGTTAACTAATGGTAGCAAATCTTTCCACTCAGAATCTAATTTTTCTGTCATCTCTATTGTAGCTTCCCTTTCCTTCTGTTTCTCTAATTTCCTTTTTTTGGATTCCACAATTAATTGATCAATCAAATCTTTTCTAGATTTACCTCCATCTTCACCAGTATTTCTAAATAAACCACCACCGAAATGAGCCTCTGCTACAAAGTTTCCTGCAAGGTAAAAAATTGCATATTTATTTATCTATCTATCTAAAATTAGACTATATGAACTTTCTCCTAAATGAATTGCTAGTGTAAAAACATGTAATTTCATACCTTCGAGCCTGCCAGTTCCCCTTCGACCAGATTCTTCATCACTAAATTCATCATCTGATCTAGGATCATCAAATTTTTCAATTTCTTGCAAGGTTTGGCCACTAAAATGCAAAAAAAATGTTATAATCACTATCTTGACTATAGCAAGTAACAATTATTTATCTTTTTACAAGCAAAATGTGACTAATAAATACAAACAGTTGTAATACATATAAGATAACTGAAATAAGTCAATGTATGTTTGAAAAAATGATATTATAATACTAAGCTGAATTTTTAGAACTATAATATCTGAACAAAATGCTGACATGATTCAATAATATTAATTTGTGTGTCGGGTTCAAAATTAGTTATCAGGCTCAAATCTACAAACACTAAATTGACATTAGCAATTTCATAGACTGTAATATTGAATGACATAACTATTTGTTAAATTTGATTGTAAACTACATAATTATAGTCAATCGAATTGCTACTGTACAAAGTGAAAAACTTAAAAGATAGCATTTAAATGATTCATTAAATTGAATAAAATAATCCAAAAACTTCATTAATTTACATACTTATGTGTAAGCAATGTATCTTCCAAATTGTATATACTATGCTTGTTTCCATGGAGTTTTTGTTGTTCAGCAGTAAAGCGAGCAGTGATTCGATCTTCAGCAGTCATTGCTGCATTGCGTTCACCTATTCTTCGATCCACAAATTTGTTTGATTTATGGCGACGAATGAACTCCTGACCCAATGTATTTTTTCTCTAAATATTAATATAAGTTAGATTCATGAACAATTATTTTTTAACTTATTCTGGTGTAAATTTAACCTTAGTAATAGCCTTTGCTCTGGCAATTCCCGGAAGGCCCTTGTCATTTTTAGATTTTCGCCCGAGAACTCGTATTTTTTCTTTATTTACGTGCACTTCAAAAGGGTTTAGGACCTTCTTCACTACCTTTTTAGCACGTAAGTTATCTGCTTTGCTCGATTTGTTTTTTACTTTGACCATCTTGTTATGAAATATAAATTTGCGTAATAATGAAAAATCGTAATATGTTTCTTCAGCTACATTTAAATACTTGCTAGAAAATAACAATATTAATAAAAAAATCTAACCCCAAAACTAACATGTGAATTGAAAACAATTTTCAGTCAGTTGACCATAGATGTCAGCCTGATGTCAGTAGGAATGTCAGCGGATGTCAGATCCACTTACCGACGACAGCGCAAACAAATTGGTAATCTTAGTTGAAGCGCGCGCAAATCAAAGTTGCATTCCAAAAAATAAATAAATGAAATAGATATTGGTAAATAGTAGATCAATTCAAATAATTTTTAAGTTATAATTGAGTTATTATTCATTATTTATGATGATAATTAGTCTGCACGATGCTTTTCAATTTTTAACTTCCCGAAGGAGAAGTTTGTTTTCATAAAAAAAATTCTATTCGCTTATTTTATGTTTTCTCGACGTTTCAAGCCATTATGAATCGAATGAGATCAAATTTGGAAAAAGTATTTGTGTGTGTGAACTGATTTTTTACTGTAAATCGATGTTTTCGCAAAAACAGCTGAACCGATTCAAGAATTTAAAAGTCATTGCGCGACGATAGACCGAGCCATTTTTTGTAAATCGCAGAAAAGTGACAAAGTTTTCGTCTACGGTTTAGCCCGCAATTCTGAATCGATTTTAATAATTCAAAAAACCGGTCGAAAGATATTGGTTGGGAATCGACCTGTTTTTGGTAATGATAGCACAATTTCTCGTAATTAACTGTTGAAATTTTTTTTTTTTGACGATTTTTATAAATTTTTTTTAGCGATAGATATCATGGTCTTCTAGATCAGGGGTCGGCAAGCTTTTAACCGTAGTGTGCCAAGCCACTCTACCAATATGTTTTAGAGTGCCGCCTTAATTTTGAAATATATAGTTAGGTTCTAGGGGAGAAAAATTATAACCAAATTCATCATTCAAACATATCTATTAACAAATAACATGAATTTATAATATAAACAGTGCCCGATTACCCCAAAGGCCCGTGACACCCGGGCAATTTTTCAAAATGTAAAAATTTTAAACTCGATGAAACGACACGACAATTCATTTTAAGGATAGATCCTAATTTTTTTTTTTTTGTAAATTTAGAGATCATTTTCGATGAACTAGAACGCAATGCGTTTTCTAATCAAATTTATTATTCGCGGGTGCCGCATTGATATTTTCTTGATGTATCATATTATCAACTCCAGGACGGCTAAGTTAATAATCGTAAAAAATCGTAAATAAAATTGTTTATATATCTCTACGCTTCAAGTTCTCCTTAATATTTTGTCATGCCTTAGAAAAAATGGATGTATGCATGTGTTTATGCGGTTACAATTTTTTGGCAATTGGCATTCGGGAAGATGTGCTGATTAGTTTTTTGCAAAGACAGTTTCGGAATAGGGAGCAAAGAGTTAAAAAAATGCTAATTCAATTTTTCAAAAACAAAGCGTCCGATTTAATTCAAGACACTTTTTACTTGTATGACAAAATAAGAACTATCGAAAATTTTGCGAGAGCATGGTCAGCGTTTTTGGTGATCCAAAAAGGTGTCATTTGGTGATAAAAAGTGATCATTCACATCAAATTATTAGATTTTTCATAAAAAAATTATTAATTATTACAAATTTTGTCTTCATTATTTTGAATCATTCCGTACCAAGATTTTTAATTTTCAAAGTTTACTTCTTGAGAGGCTTACTGTTTATGCAGGCAGGTTTAGCATTTTTGGAGATAAAGAGCGCAGAAGGTGCAAAAGTGGTCATGAAGGTTTTGAAAGTACAGATCATTCGATTGGAATGACTCAAAAAATATTTTGTTCGTGGTATTTTAGTGATATGAAGAAATGATTAGTTTTCCGAAAAGGCAAGTCCACTGGTTTCAAAATTTTGAGAAAATTAAAACGTCTAAAATTTTCAAATAATCGAATTATTTTAGAATTTAAAAAAAAACTCGTAATTTTTAAATTTCTCGGTTCTATTTATCGAGTTTAGTCCAATGTCTTTTTAATTTGTGAAATCAGTTCAGGCGTTTTTGAAAATGAAATTTTGATTTATAGCGCCTTTTAACACAAATTTTGACTATGATGTTTTATCAATCTTTGATGAATTTTTAAAATTGTCAAATATTTTGACTCCTAAATGATATCTTTCAGAAATCTTTTTTCAATTTTAAAAATCGGTTTCTGGCTTTATTCGGAAAAAGTAATATTTTTGCTTTTTTATGCTAATTTTAAATAACCGGCTCGTCCGATCGTCTCGCAAAACTAATCAGTCCGGCAGGTTTTTACCAAAAACTAATGAATACGGTTTCCAACCAAGATTTTTCAAATGGTTTTTGAATTTTTAAAATCGACATAAAATTGTGGGCTAAAACTTTGACGAATTTTTTGTCTCTTTTACTAATTACAAAAAAAGCTTGGTCGACCGTTAAACCTGCCTTTCCAAAAATTTAGGTAATTATTCATTCCTTTAGTACAAGTAAATTTTTTTTAATTATTCGGAAACCAGCCTCTCGGTTCTTTCAAAAACTGAATTGCAATTTTTGCACTTTTGTTCTGTATTTTCCAAACGGCTAAACCTGTCTTAGAGAAAAACTAATCAGAACTTTCTTATCATTGAGAATGAAACATACATACATACACACACATCAATTTTTTTTAAGGTATGCCAAAATGTTTAGAAATGTCTGAAACGTAAAAATATGCAAAAATTTTCATTTTCGATCTTTTGCGATTGCTATAACTTACGAGTACTTTACGCAAAGTTCAAAGTTGTATTTAAGTAACTTAGAATAAAATTATAGTATAATTAAAAAAGTAAAAAATTGTCTATTAAAAAGGGCGCCTGATCAGATAGGGCCTAGGGCGGCAGAAACCTTAATCCGCCACTGAATATAAACTAAATAACTTTAATGCGAACCTTGCGCCTGCACATTTTTCCTTAACATTTCAATATCCGGGGTATAATTTGTAACTTTTAATTTCACACAAGATACTGAATGTTTAGTTGTTAAACGATTTCTTTGTGAACTCAAAATATGTTTTATGTGAGAAAAAAAGTGTTCACAGAGATATGTGGAACCAAAAGCTGAAAGGAGAGCGCATACAATTTTCTTTAAACAATTAAGTCTTTTCCGGCAATGTCATTCAACAATTTAATATGGCTGTCGATTTTTCCATAGAGTCATCTTCCAGATTTATTTGCAATTCCTTCAAAATATAGGCACATAAGCTTCAAAGTCTTTGCATCTTCTGGAAAATTCATCTTTAAGTACTTCAACGTAGGTTGAATTACATTAGCGAATTACATTAGGAAAATAATTATAATTAAACATTTTCTTATATTTAAAAATAATATTTGCGATTTTCCTGATTACTTTATAGAGTGCCATTCAGAACCCCATCGCGTGCCAATCCTGGCACGCGTGCCGTAGGTTGCCGATGCCTGTTCTAGATCATACTAAAATATTACGGTCCTACGACAAGTCGTTTAACTTTGAAAAAAATAGTCGCGTCTTGTTGGAGTTTGTCAAAATTGTACTTTTAATCGACGTTTTCTCTAAAAGGCCTAAACCGATTTCAAAAATTTAAAAGTCATTTGATGTATCTCGATATGAGGATTATAGTTTCTCAGTTTTGTGCGACGATCGGCCGAGCCGTTTCTTAGTAATTTGAATAAAATTGTAAAACTTTTTGACCACGTTTTAGCTCACAATCTTGAATCGATTTTGAAAAATCAAAAACTGTTCAAAAGATATTAGTTGGCAATGATACGGCTTAGTTTTAGGTAAAAATCTACCCGGCCGTTTTCTTGTAATCAACCGTTAAAAAATTTTTTATGAAACTTTTTATGTTGATAGATATCGTGGTCCTAAACAACATACCAAAATTGTACGTTTTTACGTCGGCTAGTTTAATTTTAAAAATTCATCAAAATTTGAAAAAATATTGTGTTCAAAATTTGATTCTAAAGTTGTTTTTGTGATGTGATGAGTCAAACATGCAGTATAATTTATACTGCACAGACACGCGCTTGTATGTCCTAAAATTGTAGCTTATTATTTTAAATTTCAATGAATTGATAACGTTTGATTGAATTGATAATTTGGTTAATTGAATTGATAATTTTACTGTATAATTAATATAATTACAGATAATTTTGATGTGTTTGAGACCATTCTAATGGAAATCGCAATGTTCTACATTTAACGATAACTTTATTTTTGAAACAAATAGTTGAAAATTTTATCTAAATATCTAAATCACAATTTCGGTTAAGTAAATTATTACTCATTTCGGAAAGTTCGTGCAACTTGCCTTAAATGCCACTTTCAACTAGTTTTTAAATGCACATACGCGTGAATTAGCAAAGTTAATTTTACAACCACGTTACGAAAGTGTTTTAAGTTTCTTGCATTATGACTACATATTTTAATTTATCTTTGGATTCAAAAATGATCACATATATTAGTATTAGTATATACACTAAATAAAAATATGAGTATAAAACTGAGATTTTGAAATTTTTTTCCCGAAGGGGAAACTTGTTTTCGCGACAAAATCGGATTTGCTAATTTTATGTTTTCTCGACGTTTCAAGTTATTCTGAATTCGAATGAGACCTAATTTCGAAGAAGTGTATATACACATGTGTGTGTATGTATAACCGTGTCCATGCGAGCGGACTTCTTATCTTTCGTCGACGTTTTTTCAAAAATGTCTAGGCCAATTTCAATTTGAAGTCATCCAATGTATATCGATTAGGACTCGCATTGATGAATTATCGATTAGGATTGATGAAATTCGTCAAAGTTTGAAAAAATCAGTAGCGTTTTTTGGCGTTTGTTAAAGTTAGGCTTTTTATTGATGTTTTCTCAAAAACGTATGAATCGATTTCAAAAATTTAAACTCAAATTCGATGCATTTTGAAAAGTACTATCGTTTGTCAGTTTTACGCAACGATCAGACAAACCGTTTTTTTGTTAATAGCAAAAAAAGTGAAAAAAAGTTCACGTTTTAGCCCACAATTCTGACTCGATTTGGAAAATTCAAAAACCGTTTGAAAGATATAGGTTGGAAATCGTCCTGATTAGTTTTTGGTGTCAAACTGGTTTTCTTGTATTTAACTTTAAAAATTTTATGAAACATTTATCATGGTCTTATAAAACATACTAAAATATTACGACTCTACGACTAGTCGTTTAATTTTAATATTTCATCAAATTTTGAAAAAAAAATGTTTTTTCAAAAACTGCTGAATCGATTTAAAAAATTCAAAAACCATTTGTTGTAACTCGATAAGAACTATCGTTTCTCACTTTTGTGCGACGATTAGCCGAGCCGTTTCTTTGAAATTATCAGAAAAGTGAAAATTATTCGTCTACGTTTTAACGAAAAATTCTGAATCGATTTTCAAAATTCAAATACTATTTGAAATATGTGACTTGTGAATCCTACTAATTAGTTTTGGACAAGGATCGACCGAGCCGTTTCTTAGTAATTAACTGTTAAATTTTGTTTTCGATGAAAATTTTTTCCTAAAAACGACGTTTCCCTGAAAATTAAATTAACAAAATTGCGTATAATCCACATAGATTATACCATTTTTTAAGATTGCAGATTATTATTCGATTATTGCAATAATAAAACAATAGCCTTCGCTTTATGAAAATATTTATTTTGGTTGTTCAACCTCAAACTATTGATACAAATATATATTTATTTCAATTCGGTATGTTTGTGCTTAATTCTAATGTATTTATTTACAAATTATAAAATTTGGCAATAATGCTAGTACATTAGTTTTTTTTTAATTTTTAAATTGTTAGATTGCTTGGTGTTTTGTTTTTTGTATTGATACGTATTATTTATTTATTTGAGAGAAATAGCAATTATTCGATAGCGACATATATATATATATATATATATATATATATATATGTGTGTGTGTGTATTTATGACAATATTTCGAGAAAAAAATAAATTACAATTTAGAATCGAATATATATCCAAATTTGACTCCGTTCGATGGTGGTAAATATGTTTGAACCAAAACATTTCCGGTGGTGTATGAGTTTGGCTTAGATGAACCTCCTTTCACTGGTGGCAAATATTCATTGTTCAGCTTTGAAGTCGAAGGGTAACCTTGCGAACCAGAACCTCCAGATGGAAAATTCTTGCCGGCTAATCCATTTGGTGTTGCCAAACTTCCTCCGGTTGGTAAGAATCCAGTTTGTGAACCAGCAACGTACGAAAGATCGTGAAATCCAGCATTATTTGTGTATGAATAACTACCTCTTACATTATTTTGTGAGTCAGCTGATTCTTGTCTTGAAGAATCTCCTGTGTTGTATGAAAAAGAATATGATCCATCACCTGATGCACTACCTGATTTATCTCCAAATCCAGAACTACTAACACCGCCTGTTACGCCACTTCCACTTGTGCCTTCTTTTCCGCTAAGACCGTTTGGTGTTGCGAGGCTTCCACCAGTTGGTAAGAAACCTGTAGCAGCTCCGGCAACGTAAGAGAGATCATGGTGCCCTGCTGCATTTGTATATGCATAACGACCCTTAACGTTATTCTGAGAATCAGCAGATTCTTCTCTGGAGGAATCTCCAGTACTGTACGAGAAAGAGTATGATCCATCTGTTGCAGATTTTCCAACAGCACCTAAGCTCAAACCGCCAGAGCCATATGTAGCTGGAACTCCGGATCCGTACGGTGATTGTGGACTCTTTCCACCCAAACCGTTCGGGGTGGCAAGACTTCCACCGGTTGGAAGAAAGCCTGTTTGTGCTCCAGCAACGTATGAAAGATCGTGATGTCCAGCCGAATTGGTGTATGAATACCGCCCTTTAACATTGTTCTGGGAATCTGCAGATTCTTCCCTTGATGAATCGCCTGTTTTGTAAGAAAAAGAGTATGATCCGTCCGGGCTTAGTGCATTGCTGCCGCCAGATCCTAAACTTCCTGAACTAGGTGCATCATAACGTGGTGCGCCGTAAGATCCAGGCGCATTTCCTTCAGCTGAGGGACCTGTTTGTCCTAAGCCATTAGGAGTTGCAAGACTACCACCAGTAGGTAAAAATCCAGTTTGAGCACCAGCCACATATGAGAGGTCATGGTGACCAGCAGCATTCGTGTAAGAATAACGGCCCCTAACATTGTTATTAGAATCGGCAGATTCTTCCCTTGATGAATCGCCTGTGTTGTAAGAGAATGAATACGATCCATCCGCGCCTGGTGCATTTGGAGCTCCTCCGCTACTTGGTGCACCATATCCTGATGTTCCGTGAGCGCCAGTGCCAGCAGGTGAGTTTTTTCCACCTAAACCATTAGGCGTAGCAAGGCTTCCTCCAGTGGGCAAGAAACCTGTCTGAGCTCCAGCAACGTAAGAGAGGTCATGATGGCCAGCGGCATTTTTATATGAATATCTACCTTTAACGTTATTTTGAGAATCAGCAGATTCTTCCCTTGACGAGTCGCCAGTGCTGTAAGAAAAAGAATAAGATCCATCTGGCCCCGCAACACCACTTCCAGCGGCACTTCCTGCACCATATCCTCCAGATGGATAAGACCCACTTCCAACGCCTGGTGCGCCATTATCTTTTCCGCCCAAACCATTAGGAGTAGCTAAACTACCACCTGTTGGAAGAAATCCGGTTTGACTACCAGCGACATATGATAGATCATGAGTTCCGGCTGCGTTAGTGTAGGAGTATCTTCCTTTGACATTGTTTTGAGAATCAGCGGATTCTTCTCTTGAAGAATCTCCTGTATTGTAGGAGAAAGAATATGAACCATCCGTAGAACCTCCAGGAGCAGATGGTAAACTACTTCCTGAAGCGCCAGAACCGTAACTGGTTGGCGAAGAACTTCCATGGCCACTCAATCCGTTTGGAATAGATAAGCTACCGCCGGTTGCTAAAAATCCCGTGGATGAACCTGCTACATAGCTGAGATCATGTTTTCCAGCGGAGTTAGTATATGCGTAACTTCCGCGAACGTTACCTTGAGCATCGGCCGACTCTTGTCTTGATGAGTCGCCAGTGTTATAGGAAAATGAGTAAGAACCATCAGCATTACCGGAACCGGATCCGCTTTGACTATAAGATCTTGCTCCATTATATTGGGGTGCGTAGGAGTTCGACGGTGCAGCTATAAAATGATTTAACCATTTTATCAGTAATAGTATTGATAAATATTTTCATGATAAATTGTTAATCAGATATCTTTTTATTTATAGATCTAACGTTAACCGGTATGTTTCAGAAACTATGTTTTAGAAAGGAAATAATATTTATATGACTTACTTTGTCCATCTAATCCACTTGGAACAAAGCCTTGCACTCCAGATGTATACTTGACGTCAACAGTTTTACCGCCGTTCAAACTATATTTGAAATGACCCTCAACTTGATTTTGGGCGTTTCCTGATTGTTTAGCGAAGAAATTTGTTCCCGTATCAAATCCGTACTTGTAACCTATATGGCAGGTATACAGTGTTATTGCTCTTCTTATTCCAATAATAGTTATATCAATAAAATAGCAATGTAATGGAAACTTTCAATTCAAAATATATACATCAATTTAAATTTCTAAATTAATTTATATCTCACATGAATTCCATTCGAATATAGTGAAATTAAATTTTCAACATATAGTTTAATTTACCTCCATCGGCTTCTTGAAGATAGTACTGAGATCGTCTGTTCGATGGCAGTTGAGGTAAATTTTCCCACGCAAGAGCATGGCTTAAACAAACGCTTAAAACCAAAATCTGAAATATAAAGTTTTTATTCGGTATTTTATAAAACACAAGTGAATAATCAATATATATATATATATATTTCAAAGTGACTAGCAGCCCATTCGTCGAAATAAAAATCATTACAGTCGGGTATTTTGCTCGGTATGGGCGTGTTTCTTGCTTCATCAATTTCAAAACTTTTAGTCAAATTAGTTTTCAAATCTTTTAGTTATTCATAATTTTTTTCCAAAAAAATGTTTTCTTCTAATATGTTATAAGTTTATTTTTTTTAAAATAAAAAAAATTTTTTTGAGTGTTTTTGTCCTGTTTTGCTGAATGATGACACGCATCTTGTGTCGAAACGTATAAATAAAAGTTTTTAATACTTTATACCTTTTTTATTTCGACGAATGGGCTGCTAGTCACTTTGAAATATGTTTCAACGTCGAAAAAACTATCAAGATATATATATCTATATATATATATTAGGGTGGTCCTTAAAATGGTCATTTTCGAATTTCTTTGCTCCCAGGGGCTCAAATGGTTCCAAATAGATAAAAAACAATTCTCTGAAAGTTTTAGCTCTTAATATTAACGTTTAGATAGAGCGCAATTCAATCAAAGTTTTGTATGGAAATAGCATGGAAAAAAATTTGAAAATTAAAAAAACGTGTTTTAGGCGTAACTTAGCGACAAATGAATGAGTTTTATTCATTTATTTGTTCGCTAAATTACATCTAAAAAACATTTTTAAACTTTTTGAAAAATTTTTCATGCTATTTCCATACAAAACTTTGATTGAATTGCGCTCTATCTAAACGTTAATATTAAGAGCTAAAACTTTCAGAGAATTGTTTTTTAGCTATTTGGAACCATTTGAGCCCCTGGGAGCAAAGAAATTCGAAAATGACCATTTTAAGGACCACCCTAATATATATATATATATATATATATATAAATATATATATATATATATATATATACTATTTTTGATTGTAAAATAACAATAGTCTAAGAATAGTTTTACGGGTATTATATTATATTATTACGGGTTATATCTATAGATGTTGTTCATCGTGATTCAAAATGAGTTCAAATCGAATTAAATAAATAAATTATTAATTAAACTAATATATTTGATCTAATATATTTTCTATTTTTTTGTGCTTATATATACCTTAAACAATTTTACAATTTGTTTGTTAGTGAATAATGATATGTATATGTTTTTCTGCGGTCTACAATTATATTGATTACACAATATCCATATTATTTTAAGCAATTTTTTAATGTTTTTGTATTTTTATATTCCGACATGCTTTTACGCATTAATTTGTGCGTAATATTACTAACAAAACCAGGAAGCTGCGAATGTCAACAGGCTAATGCATTCTCATTAAACGCATAACAATGTTTATATGTGCCAATATGCAACTATTTGAAAATGAATGAATATTCATCAAATATCTAGAGTACGTCCTTGAAACGAATTATTTGTTAGCTTTCAATTTTATTAAATAACAAATTTTTTACATTATATCTTATGAAGTTTCACGAATAAAATTATGAAAAGCAGGGCCGGATTTAGAAATTTGGCGCCCCGGGGCACTGACAAAAATGCCGCCCCATCCTTGAAATTTTACGAACTTTGGAACTTCTTTTAAAGCAATCGCGCTGCTTCAGCTGCGAGGAACAAAATATAGAAGCGCGTAAGTGCCGCGTCGCAATCTAACGGATAAACAATGTTACAGAACGTATATAAATGTAAACAAAATTTATACTTATTATTATAATATCTTTAAAATATCTGATAATTTAATGTGCATATGTCTTATGATCACTTTTGTCCGCCAAATGTTTCTTTTTCAATTTTTTTTATTGGAACCGCTAAACCTGCCCACCACAAATTTAAGCAGTTATTTATTCTGTAAATTTTTTTGAATGTTATTCGACGCTTTTTTCTCAATAACTGAATTATTATTTTTGGCATTGTGGCCCGTATCTTCAGAACAGTTGGACCTACCTTGGCCAATAACTAATCAGCACGTCTCCTTATCAATAGGAATGGAATCATTTAAATCGGTTGATCCGTGTTCTCGAAATCGACTTGAATAATTAAAAAATATTAGATTTGTATTGATGGGGAGACGTGCTGATCTTTTGGTACAGGCAATTACGAAAAATGGTAATTGAGTTTCGATATTTCTTCTTTGAAACAGCTGCGCAGCGCGATTGCTTTGCAAAAACGCTATAAGCTTGGAAGTGCACAAATTCGTCATATTAAGAGGGCTCGAGAACTGAAGAACATATTTTTCTTAAACTTTCAGCTTGTTTACCGATCTTTATATTAGCCAAATTGCCAAATACGATAACTTATTAACCAATTTGATAATTTACGTTCGGATAGGGAGGCAAGGCAAAATAATAAATTTTAGTTATCGTTTATTTCAACCAAAATTTTGCATTGCAATCGTATTATGTTGTGTTAATTATATTTCTTAAAACAAAAAATGTTAAAAAAAAGTTGATTATATTGTATAAAATTTTTTTCTCACTATCCAAATTTTGCCGCCCCCCAAAATTTGCCGCCCTGGGCAGTAGCCCCGATTGCCCCTACTGTAAATCCAGCACTGATGAAAAGTAATAAATATGTCAACATTTTTTTATGTTAACAACTGGTCTCGCTCGTAGCAAACCGACAGGATTTGAATCTGATGTCAAGCCTGATGTCGAGCAGTTGTGGTTTTCTCTTAAAATTATAGATAGCAATAGGTTTCCAAGTGAAAATAGCTCTTACGCAGGATTGCTGCATCAATAAATATTTATCACTATTACAGAAAATGTAATAATAAAAATTCATCACTTAGAGATGAGACAACTGTTTGGGTTGCCATCTATAAAAAACGATATAGTTTGAAAGGAATTTATCATATCAGCTCATATAACCATTAAGTTCTGATTGGTGTTCAAAAAAATTTAACAATGGTTATTTTAGACGCATTTATATTTTATTACTTATTTTTTTTATATCAAATAGCCAGTTCTATATTATTTGTAGGGAACCCTAAATTAGGTGAAAAACCGATTGCTTACTGTTGTATTCTGTCACATATTTTCTCTGAAAACGAGAAAGATTGCATTTTTGTCTTGCTTGCAAAATTCACAAACTGATCTTTTAAAAATAATTACTGTACACCAACTCTGTATCTAAAACGCCCATTCGTACGTACGGAATGTGCAAATCGAACACAGAATTCTAGGCTAGGATTGATCATTGCTCACCAGAGTTATTGTATTATTGTTAATATATCAACAATGTGAAGATTTTTTTCTAAGCCCAAACCACCCACTAAATGCAAAAGTTCTTGGTGACGTTACACTTCATTAAGGTAATGAGTTGATTCACACAAATATTGAATAGTAATTTATTCTTCTTACATTTCACTTACAGAAAGTAATGTTATTCAATTATAAACATTGAAATTTCCTTCTTCAATATTAAAATGGACCATCTCATATTATACTCTGCTTCATGATATGGGAGGCTCGGGTCAGTCAAATTAGTTGACATGTCATCATTACAATTTTGATACGAAAAAAAAATGTATTTTACTAATTTTTTTCTCACAAATTTATAAGAATGAATTTATCGATTTATTATGTTAAGAAATGAACAGTTGTTTTATAATTTTTAATTCGAAATTATGCTGCGTTTAATTACTAAATATGGTATGAAATAACCTTAATTTAGTTAATTATTATGCATTATTTCAGATAATATTAAATATTATTAATAGCAGATTGATCATGATTTCAGCAGTTCAATATATAAATAAATTATACATCTAATAGCTTTCGAATTAAGTGTGTAAAAATGTGTGAAAATGAGCAAATTTAGTAAAAAGTAGCATTCGACTTTATATGATATTTTTAATTTTTGCAAAATGCAATTTGTTTTAAGTTTCCCGCTAGGATGAAGCGGGGCTCAAAGGTCCGCGGGTAAAAAGGTCTACCATCGATATCTCAAAAACCAGTGAAGTAAAATTTTGTTTAACAATAATATTATAAAGTATAGGGAAAAATCTATAATAAGGCATCAAATTGATTCTTACGACGTTGCTATCGGGACATAAACATAAATGTTAGAAAATCCATAACAACATCATATTTTCTTTTGTTGTAAGGTAATTTTCGGTTGAGAGCACTGTTGTTTAGTTTACGAGACTTCAATATAATTATGAAGTAACGTAGCTAGTTTGTTTTATAAGATAGGTTAATTTCAAGTTCGATTCAACAGTTTTTTTATATAACCTATATAAAAGCTTAAACAACGGGTTGGGTAAAAAGGACCAACTGAAACTTTACCCTTGCAAAGGTGGTGTAAGCAATAAAAAATACTAAATAAAAAAGTAAATTAAGTTAAAAAATCTATTTTACAAGAGATAAATTAAATTCATAGTTATCCTAATTCTGCTGATGAATATTTCTGACGAAATACTAGATCAATGTTAATTACAGTCTTATCTCTGTAAAAAATGCACCAATGAAATTCATATTTTGCTTTGGTTTAATAATGTTGCTATTACTTTGTAAAATTCATTTAAAATGAGGCGTTCGACATCTTTGGCCCCTGGCCGTCTCAATTTACTTGGCCTATGGGGCAAAAAGGACCAGGTTACAATTTTTTGAAAAAAAAAACAGCAATACTTACATTTATATATAACACATAATACATATATATATACATATATATATATATATATATTTATATATATATATATATATATATTTATATATATATATATATATTATATATATGCTCAAATTTTAAATAATTTGTGACATAATATTCTTTAAATATAATTAATATATAAAATAACTATTTTTAATATCTTTAGAACTTGTATAAAGGTATTGGAAGTAATTATAGTTATTAAGCGTTTACTGTATTTATAATTTAAATTATGTATCTTATCTAAAAATACTATATATGATAATATATTATCCCAAAATATAATGTATTATCCATAAATAATATATCACGAAATGTGTTATATTATTAAAAATGAGTATATATTGTAATATATTATCACTTTATACAAGCACTTTTCACTGTTCGATAGTAAAATAGAAGCCGCTTACCCTTCCCAACATTTTCTCTATGGCACTGATATTTATCAACACTTCACTCACCAATTCGCACACTGAACTTACTTATTGATCAATTGGTATATTTCGGATATACCGAGTGCAATAATTATAGAAATGCCGACTGAAAAATCGATCTATGGAAAATCGGTAATACTGATTTTATTTGTTGTGTTCTGGGGCCTGTCGCCTTACCGCGACCAGATCCGTCGTTGTATGACGATCTACGCATCTTCGCAGATCTTTATATAGGTCGCACCTCTGACGCACCACGAAATCGACCTATGATCTATTTATTATGCAGAAATAAATAACTCGGGCAACTTTCATTCAATTCACCGGGATGATGCCCCATGATCTTCAGCGAGGGTGGTTTGCCTTGATTTCGAGTTCTGCTCCAAGCACGTCGATAAAATAGACATTGGAATGTCTAGTTTTCATCGGTATTTGATCTATTACTGAAGGATGGATCTTGTGATTGATATTTAGTCTTATACATATGAGATTTTGTATATGTATGATTTTAAACATTTTTGAAGTGAAAATTGTGAATTATATTTTGAGTATAAAAATTTGTTTTTGATTATGTGAATTGATTTACTGTTTTGATTATGTTAATTTTACTTTGTAACAAGTATATGAATTGCGGTAATATTTTACAATAATATAGATGTTAATATAAACACTACAATAGTTTTTCACAAGAAATAATAAGTTGTTTTTAAAATTATGTGATATTTTTGGTAAATGTAAGATTAAATTCTGATCCCATGTATTTTATTTTATAAATTTTCATACAAAGATTCAATAGCATCTCATAGACTAATACGTATTTATTGCTTTATATTAAACACCTGAATATAGGGTTTTCGAAAAGTATAGTTTTTAACATATTATTTGTCCATTGCCGGATTATTAGTGAAATTCCTTTCTGGCGGTCATATGAAATGATCGTCATTCTATATATGATAAATTTTTGCTGTTCTTCGTGTTTGTTAAATGAATTTATTAATTTATATAAATAATTATAATTAAAATATAATCAAATCAAATGGCCTATAGATGCACATTTTCAAATATTCTTGATTTTTATGTAATAGCAACACAAAAGAATATATAGAAATAAATAAATATATTAGGTTGTCAAATATCTCCCTTCCGCTTTTTTGCTCTTGATTTATAATACAAAAAGGCGGAAGGGATATATTTGACAAACTTATATATATATAATATATATATATGTGTGTGTGTATGTGTGTGTGTGTTTGTTTGATTATTAGGTATTGTGCTTAGCAGAAAGTTTTAGGCCAAAAGTTTTAGGCTCCACTCTATTTATATGCCATGTTATAGGTTTTTCCTATCATTTTCAGATACATACACATATACTTTTTGCAAATTTGGTCAAACAATTAGGAATGACTTGAAACATCGAAAAACTTACAATGGATAAGCCAGATATTCTAGCGAAGTTATTTATAAACAAATATCATGGAATAATAGTTTATATTAAAATTAACAATTATTTATTATATATATATATATATATATTAAAATATATATTATAATTAACTATATATTAAAATTAACAATTATTTTTATGCAAAAATTTTGACGTGTTCAATTTGTGTTGATGATTTATTTCTGTTTACCATATGGTGCATTTGCTCGTGATCGTGCATATATTATAATGTGGATTATGTAATATATTAACAACAATTATTGCTTTCAAACCTATAGAATTTTGTTTTCTTATACCTTTATCATATAGCCATTATGATCAAACCGCAGACTATTTTTGATCGATCGAATGTTACGAAATTTTATTTTTTTAATAAAAGACAGTTTGCTTTGTGTATACTATATTTTTCATTGTACTAAAGTAAAAATAGTACGTGAAGTGAAACAACTAGAGTGGTATCTTCATAACTCAGGGAAAGGGTTACGAATTCAGAGATGTCAAATCCTTGAGTTCTTTTAGGAAGTGTATAATTTTATGGAATTTTTGGTGAGCCTTTTTTCACAATTTGCAGTCACAAAAGTCAAATTTCGAAACAGATTTTCATTCTTGATTCAACACGATCATAGTTATATATCTGGAAGTTCATGCTGCTTTGTTTCGTTAAAATATAACTGACAACTGGTTAGTGCAGTAAACGGAGCGTTTTAGGTCTGAATTTTTTTACTGTACTCCGAATTGAATGAAATTTTGGAATTATGTTCATCTTACCATCAAGTTCAAAAGTGAAAACAATTCGGGTTGCGCCATCACCCCCCGGGGGGATGACACTCCCTCTCAATTGTGTAATTACATTTTTTCAAAATAACGTCGGAAATCGATAGAAGAACTAATTATAAGAAAAAAATGTCTTCTATAGTTTTTCAAAAAAACTAATACTTTTCAAGTTACTGGCCACTAAAGATTCATATATTTTTGGCGTTTTTCTTCGTTTTTTTGTAAATATCTCCTAAAATATACATTTTAACGGAAATCATGTAATGAACAAAATAATGTCAATAAAAATCTTAATAAATCGGTATTACATAAAGTGTTCTAGGAAAAATATTAAGCAAGATTTGAAAGAGCAAAGTCGTTTTTTATTTCGTTCAAGATTTAATTGTTGTATTCAAAACCATCTAGTGTCGAGGTTTTACATTTTATGCATTTCGGTGAAATTGGGTTTTATAGTGCTCAACATAAGCTTTTAAAATGAGTGCTGTTACAAGTTTTTTGCGTGTAAAATGAGTGAGCTATCATTCAAATAAGAAGCATATACGAAGTTTTTTTCTTTCAAATCATATGGTTTAATGAGCGCCATTTCCACCAGAATTAAAGTAATTCACATTCCATCTAGAATTCACTTCATTATGGACATCTTGATGGATTCTAGCAGATTCACTACTTTAGTACAAACTATTTTCAGAAAACTCACGATTTTATAAAAACTTTTTTGTCCAATTTGCGCGGCCGCGCAGTCTTTAAACATTCATAACTCTGTCAATTTTTGTGTGAAAGAAAAATAATAAAAAACAAAAATAAGCCAGAAAGATCCCTTTGACTTTTATCTATATGCTTTTATACGTATCTTTTATTCTTTTTGAGATATAATGAAAATAATTTCGATTTTTAAAAAAATTGGAAGAAAATGTTTTTATAAAATCGTGAGTTTTCTGAAAATAGTTTGTACTAAAGTAGTGAATCTGCTAGAATCCATCAAGATGTCCATAATGAAGTGAATTCTAGATGGAATGTGAATTACTTTAATTCTGGTGGAAATGGCGCTCATTAAACCATATGATTTGAAAGAAAAAAACTTCGCATATGCTTCTTATTTGAATGATAGCTCACTCATTTTACACGCAAAAAACTTGTAACAGAACTCATTTTAAAGCTTATGTTGAGCACTATAAAACCAATTTCACCGAAATGCATAAAATGTAAAACCTCGACACTAGATGGTTTTGAATACAACAATTAAATCTTGAACGAAATAAAAAACGACTTTGCTCTTTCAAATCTTGCTTAATATTTTTCCTAGAACATTTTATGTAATACCGATTTATTAAGATTTTTATTGACATTATTTTGTTCATTACATGATTTCCGTTAAAATGTATATTTTAGGAGATATTTACAAAAAAACGAAGAAAAACGCCAAAAATATATGAATTTTTAGTGGCCAGTAACTTGAAAAGTATTAGTTTTTTGAAAAACTATAGAAGACATTTTTTTCTTATAATTAGTTCTTCTATCGATTTCCGACGTTATTTTGAAAAAATGTAATTACACAATTGAGAGGGGGTGTCATCCCCCCGGGGGGTGATGGCGCAACCCGAATTGTTTTCACTTTTGAACTTGATGGTAAAATGAACATAATTCCAAAATTTCATTCAATTCGGAGCACAGTAAAAAAATTCAGAGGTTATACCCTTTTTTCCTCTCCGTTTACTGCACTAGTTGCATATTTTTTGGTTACTCAAAAATGTTACTAAGTTTTGTTTATTTAATATAATATTTTAATATGTTGATAAATATAATTATAGGTCATTTTTCGTTTTTATTGAATCTTCCACCGGCAATAATTCATCGGATGGAAAGGGCTGCTTTGACAGCCACAGTTGAAATAAATCAAAACGCTAACGCGCTTGACAAACAAAACATTCTTGACAAAGTTCACCAGTGAAGTGAATAAATAGGCATTGAAGAACAAACGGAGATTATTTTTTTCATTTATAATCATATTTGCAATGCATTACGTTAGATTATCAATTACATACCATTAATATTGTTTATGAATTATTACAAATAGTGTCATCTTTAAATCAAGACATACCTAGTTGTTGTCTTATATTATGGCAAGGCTATATTACGTGGCAATTTTCATACAAAATTATACTAAGTACTGTCAAATTGACATGTATTTGCTGTACGATGAGGCGTTTTACACATTTACACATAAAATCACTCATGTGTTATCTAGCCATATCTCAAAGATCCAATTACGAGAACATCGTTTTTTTGACATTTGTCCGTTTTCTAGGTTAGGTTTTCTATCTAAAACGCCTGACTGCATAGAAACCACAAGACTAACAGTATTTAGTTCGATCTTGTTTGAAAAGTGCTACATAACATAGCCTTGCCATAACATTGGTCTATTTCATGGCAGAATTGGACCCTTATTTGTGATATACCTATTAAGACTAATCTTAAAAGAAAATTTTTACATTGGAGCCTGATATCACATTGCTTGAAACCAAACTGGCCGAGGTTGAGATCGAACTAGAGACTAGGGATTACTGACCCACGTTCTCCACAATTACACAAAAACGACTCACATATTTAAAAGTGACATAAATATTTGCACTTTCAGATTTCTGTTAAAAGCTAATCAGCACGATTTTCAAATGATATCTTTCGAATAGTTTTGAATTTTCAAAACCGATTCAGAATTTTTGGCTAGAACGTGGATAACATATTTTACACTTCTCTGCTAGTAAACGCTAGTCCTTACTGAGTTTCATCGAATGGCCCTGAAGTCAAAAATTGGATCACATACACAAAGCTATACATTCACATATTTTTCCATATTCGATCCCATTCGATTTAGAATGATTTGAAAC